GGGCATGAAGAATCAACCAAATTAAATCTTGTGTGCAAACAGGTGGGTGTGAAATTTCACTCAATGGACGGTGTTAGCGGGGACCCCTAGGATCCTGATTTCCCAGGGGAAGGCTGGGCAGCCTGAGGGGGATTTGCTACAAAAACCCCAGACACGGGAGAATAGAAAAAGCCTTCTCAAAAACCAATATTGACAAGGTCCCTGTGTTTGCACCCTGGCTTTCCCTGGGAGCACAATGGGAGGTGATTGTTCCGGGCGCAGCGGGGAGGGGACGCGGGGAGCTCAAAGGTGAGCAGCCCCCCCAGCCCCCCAGTCCCAGCCCCTCTGCTTAATCCTCTGCTTGCCAGAGCTTTGAAGTCGCCAGAGGTCGAATATGGGATGGAAATCACGTTAGCCGCGCTGGGTGATCACAACGCACTGTGACACAATGCTGCGTCCCTCCGGCGCCGCGCACCCAGTGGGCACCAGGACGCACCAGGATCCGCCGGCACAGGCTGGGACACACTGGGACTCATTGGGACATGGCGGCTCAGCCCACACTTGTGGCACTCAGCATAGTGCCTCCAGCACCAGCACATAAGGAATGACAAGGAGCAGCGTGATAGAAGGAGGCTCATCCCTGGGATTAATTAGCCAAGGCTGCAGTGCAGAGCGATGTAAAACATGAGTCCTTTGCTGTGGTGTGGGGCACCGGGGCCGTCCCGCAGCGCTGCACATCTTGTAGGCATTAGCGTCACGTCGTAGCAGCCTTCACAGAAGGATGTGGGGTTTATGGGGTTGTAAAGTGCCTTGTTCCTGGTGTAGGAGCGGCACTGCTGTGTAGAAACGCTCTCTTGGTGCATGAGGCTCAGGGAGGAGACATGGGGCTTGGAGGTTCTGCTGTCACTCATAGGACGGCATGTTTGTAGTTGCCCTTCTGCACCCCAGCACATGACACACAGCATTGCATCGCTATTGCCTGTTCGAGGTCAGAAGAAAGATGGGGAAGGTGATTTTGTGGTGCAACAGAAATGTTTAACCATAGATTCAGAGAGCTGAACTGGTTGTGTCATGGAGTCTGCTTCCCATGTAGCCGGTGTCTCACGACGTGAAATATCAGCGTGGCACATGGAAAATAACCTAGCATAGTTCTGATACAGCTGTATGGGATCAACATGCTTAGAGATCTCCATCAGACCCAAACACTGTCCTTCAGTTTGTCATTCCCACGATTATTCAATAGACGTGAACCTGTTACCTTCAACTCTTTGCCTTCAGTGGAACGGCTTTCCAAATGGAGAACCACACCACCAGGAGATGTCCGGGAAGGCATTTCCCACTGCAGTCCCAACAAGCCTCCTTATGAGAAGACGTTGCCATGGTGCAGAATGCTCCCCAGCTGCAGCTCCTGAGCATCTGTGGGCTCAGAGCCACCACGGCTCTCCTCGCCTGGGGCTGGTGAGGTGGGCACCCATTCCACTGCATGGCATGGCGTGGCATGATGCAGCATGGCACAGTACAGCATGACATGGCATGGCACAGCACGGCATGATGCAGCATGGCACAGCACAGCATGACATGGCATGGCACAGCACAGCCATTGCACAGCCACATTCTGCATAGTTTTTCCCTTCCAAGCAGCCTTCTGAGAACACATCTGCTGTGCCCCTATCCTGCACCGGAGCTGAAGATCTAAATAAAGAACTTTTGTCTTTTTATTAAGCATTTTAGGAAACGTGACTATTACATTCATATTATATTTCCCTGTTTTGTACAAACACGTTGAAGTCAGCACTAAGAGGATTACGTTTATGGCGCACCAATCTCTGCCCAAATGGGCTGACTAAAAAAACTCTTGTTAAACAGTATTTTCTCTAATGCCTGTTGCTTTTCTTCCCTGCCACAGTGCTCCGACATCCATGCAGGCTCCCTAAATCCACCCTCCTCGTGAGCTTTCAGATCAGGACTCTTCCTCCCTCCACCCCCTCCGGATCCTTTAATACAGCTGAAGATGAACATTAGCGCTTGGTTCAACTGCACTGGAAAGGGAAAGGGCAGATTCATCAAAATCTTTATACCTCCATAGAAAAATGTAGCCTTTTGCCTTTCCTCGAGTGAATGCCTTTTCTAGAGGGTATTCATTAGGGCTTGGGTCTGTTTTTGCAGACAGCTCCACAGATGTTGACATTTTTTTTCTTTGCTGGGTTAAGACGCCTTCTATAGGCTTTCATTCTTCATTTGTTACTTCTTTATTATCGGGGGGGGAGAAAGGGGGGGGTTACCCTATTTTTTTCCCTTCTTCCTTTCTTCCCAAGGAGTTGACTCTGCTCTCTGAAGAGAGCAGTGCTCGCAGCCTCATTATGCTCCTGGCCCTTTCTCAGTGCTGCAGGGCCATTGTGGTGAGCAGCAGGTAGCGGTGGCACCGCAGGGTCAGTGCTGCTTTGTGTGCCCACAATGGGAAGAGTCGGGCGCATGGCCGTACCTGGGCTCCTGTGCCCAGGTGCTGGGGAAGGGTTTGTGGAGAACCATTGCCCAGCATAGGGGAGGAAATAATGCTGGAATGAAATAAAGGAGGGAATGATGTGTTGGGACTGCTGGGTATGGCTGGGTATCTCACCCTGTGGTGACACCACTGCCTGCAAACTGAGCTGGGAGGTGCCGTCATCACAGTTCCCAAAGGAAGCGTGCTGTGTTTCTGGAGATGTTTGCCCCAAAATATTGCCAGGAGGGATGCAAGCATCGGTAAAGGCATCATAGCCCAAGTGGCACTTCAGGGCTGGAACTAAGGAGCACAGAGGTAATGGTCCCAGCCACTCACAGATGGGCTCATTGTGTCGCTGTGCATTATCTTGGGGAAAAGAATAGCTCCAGCTCTGAGAGCCTCCTGCCCCTTCCCACACTGTCCCAAATGACAGCCGCAGGTCTGCAGAGCTGCATGGGGCAGCAGCGATCTTTATCCAGCCACGCAGCAGAGCCCCAGCGTCCTGCTGGCAGAAATTTGTCTGCAAATTCCCCCACATTGAAAGCAGCCTCAGACACGGGCCGGGGCGAGGACTTGATTAGGGCTGGGGCAGGCAGCGTGAGGAGCAGTGCTCCAGCCCTTAACCTCTCCTTGGGAGCCCACGGAGCTGATGCTGTCGCTGCTTCTGGGGCTCTGTAAGAGCACAGCAGCTTAGCTCTGGTCGCGCTGGAGCAGAGCTGTGAGCATTGGGGTTTACAGCCCAGAAAATCCGGGCTCCAAAGGGCTCACCCCCATGGGGGAAGGAGGCGTTCCGCCCTGCCCAGGGCCACTTTTATGCCATTGTGCCTTTTCAGCGTTGCATTAAGGCGGCCAAAGAAGGGGGATTTTTAATGGTTCCGCGGGAACAAAGCGGGAACATTGGGCCCAACTTCATTACAGAATCATCTGAAACGCTTGAGGAGTGTTTCCCACTAATTATCATAAATAGCCGAAAAAAATCTTTCACTCCCAAAGCAGGTTCCATCTGCCCCGCCGTGTTTTCTCACCTCCACTTCAAACAGCGCTGCTGTGCCCCCGCACAAAGGGGAGACCCCATCCCTGCTCCCCTCGCACACGGGCACTCTGAAGAAATACAAACAGGCCGCAGATTAACGTCACTCCTTTGCACCTTAAACAAACAGGCAGCTTCCGCCCCTCCGGGAGAGCCTCAAGAAGATGTGCTGAGCTCGCCGTGCCCTAAGCGCACACGCAGCTCCTGTGCCCAGCCATCAGAGGTGCCTGGGAAGGCACGGTCCTGCTGGGATGTTACAGGGCACAGGAGGGTGGCTGTAGGGGTGCTGCTGTCAGACCCACGGACCTGTGGGCAAACACCTCCGGCTTGACCCCATCTTCATGGATAACGATAATTAATAGGGGAGCAGACATGCCTTGTGTCTCCGAAGACCTTTTAAGATGTGATTATGTTGTGCTAATCTCACCTCCAAGCACTTCCATGTTTAGGCTGCACCAGGCCATTAAATATCGCCAAACCCAAGGAGCCCCCCTGCCATCTTGAGCAGCCGGCCCTGCTTTCAAACCCTCTAAATCAAGCACAGAGCAGAGCCCATATGGGCTGCCAGGAAATAGGCTCCCTTCCCTCATCTGCGTCTCATTAGCACAGTGCCAGGCTCCGGGGCTGCACGCTCTGTCCCGCACAGATGTGCTGCCCCGCACTTGCCTCCTGTATTTCACAGCCGTCGTCGGGACTTCAAGGAGCAGCTGAGGAGCAGTAACACTGCACAGGCTCAGCAAAGCGGATATCCAAGTCCCTAGTGCACAGCCACAGGTATGTGCCCTAATGCAAAGCGCCAGCCCCTGCTTTGCTCTGGCACAGTGTCAGCAAGAAGCTGCCCCGGGGTCTGGAAAACAAGATGTACAATTGCATCTCCATTTTTTCACCAGGCTGCTGCCCGCAGGACAGTGTGCAGTCCTGTTGCTGCCCCATCCTCTGACCACTCGCACCAGCTGGTTACCCTGTGCTGCTGGTGGGCACTGAAGTGACAGTGAGGACAGCCCTGGCATGAAAACATCGCTTTGGTTGTGCGCAGTAGAGCTGCCGGGGAGGCTTTAATATTTGTGAGGATGAAACTGAGAGTGCAGGGAAGAGGTCAGAGCGTTGTGTACCACTGTTGGCACGTCCCATGGAGCTGGGCAGAGAAGCAGCTGGGATGCCTCGCACCACACGGGCACCTGCCAGCAATGGAGAGATTCAGCAGGATCCCTACCGGCCTCCAGCCCGTGCCCTGAGGTGTGCACCCCGTGGCAGACCCATGGAGGGCCCCAGCTGGCCCTGGAGAGGGGTCTGCAGTACCTCGGCGCGATGTCTTCTGGCCCTGGCGGTCCCGGACGGCAATGGATAAGTTGTGGCAGCCACTGCCTGTGTCGGGATGCCACCTAGTGTCGCTTGGCAGAAGAAGGTGTCACCGGGCCGCGACACCCCGCTCATTCCCCAGGCTCACAGCATCTCCAGGCGCCTCCTGGGCGGGAATCTAAAACCTCTCGGATCCTGCGATGCCCGCCCCTAGGGGACTGTACCACTGCGATGCGCCTCTGCAGCCCGGCCTGGGTGTGTGGCATCCAGCACTTGGACACTCAGCAGCCTCACTGGTGGCACTGGGGGATCGTGGCCTTGGGCAGCATGGTAGAGGAGAAGGGTGAGCTTCACCCCCAGCAGCATTGCACACACCTGCAGCACCAGCACTGCCAGCCCGAGGGCAAGGGAGATGCGGCAGTGCCGTGGGTTGGCCCACGGGGAGAAATCTCTATGGTGGTGCCCACCTGGAGCCATGGATGGGGAGACTGGCTGGGGACTTGTGTGGCCTTGCAGTGGAGGAACATTGGATGCTGGTCTCTCTGTGAGTGCTGGAAGAGCAGGAGGCACTTGTCGTGTGATTGCTGTCCACATGGTGGTTGGAATTGGTGATGTGGTGGGAGCTAGAGTGGATAGTGCACGCTCTGGGTTGGTGATGGAGAACTTGGGCAACACTACTGGTGATGGGGAGATTATAGACATCTTGGGTAGCGTGGATGGTAATGAGGAAATCACGGAGGTCTTGGGAAGCCCAGTTGATGATGAGATGGTAATGGAGATTTTGGGCAGCGCGGATGGTGATGGGGCAGTAATGGAAGTCTTAGGCAGCACAGCTGGTGATGGAGTGGTAGTGGAAATTTTGGACAGCGTTGTTGGTGATGGGGTGGTGATAGAGGCTTTGTACAGTGATGGAGCAGTGGTAGAAATCTTGAGCAGTATGGTTGATGGTGATATGGTGATGGAGGCTTTTGAGAGCATGGTTGGTGAAGGAGCAGTGATGAAGTTCTCTGTCGGTGTGGTTGGCAACATGAAGGAGGTGGCCATAGGCAATGGCATGGTTGGCAGTGCCATAATGGGAAAGGCCACTGATGACAGTACAGCCTGTGCTGCAGTGGGCACGTCTTCAGGTGGCAGCGAGGGTGGCATCCCTTGTGATGATGTGGAGCTGAGAAGTAGGGATGGGATGAAAGAAACCGAAGGAGGCAGAGTAGCTGGGCAAATTAGCTGGTTTTCCCTCAGTGATATCACTGCTTGCCCCGCCAGGTGAGGTGGAGTCTTACAGGACACTTGGGAGGACAGTTTAACTTTCTCACTGTTGCCCTGGATCCAGCTGTGCAGGTAACAGAGATTACAGTCACATCTCCATGGGTTTCCACTCAGATACAGTGAGCTGAGCCTCTTCAGGGGGTCCAAGAGTCCTCGGGGGATACTCTCTAGCTGGTTCATTCGGAGATTGAGAGTTTTCAGATTTGGGAGAGGAGCAAAGACCTCATGATCCAGAGCAGAGAGCTGGTTTGTGTCCAGCTGGAGGTCCGAGAGCTTGTTGAGCCCAGTGAAGACCCCCCTTGGCAGGGCTGCTAGCTGGTTGTGGGACAAGATGAGTTTGCCAAGAGATGTGAGGTTGACAAAGATGCCATCGGGAAGTGTGGCTAAACTGTTCCTGCCCAGGTCCAGCTCCCAGAGGTGTGGCATGGTGTCAAAAAGGCAGCAGGGGAGCTGTGTAATCTGGTTTGAACCTAGAGTCAGCAGCTTCAGCCTGTTTAAACCAAAGAAGCTGTGGGGTGGGAGAACCCTGATGAGGTTGTTGTCCAGGAGGAGTTTTTCCAGGTAGGTCAGGTTCCTCAGGAGAGTAGGTGGCAGCACTCTGAGCCTGTTCCTCTGCAGGCTGAGCTCCAGCAGCCCCCGCTGAGCATCCAGCAGCCCCTCTGGCAGGTCCTGCAGCTCGTTCTCATACAGCCGGAGGACTTGCAGCTGGGGCAGTTTGCTGAAGACATCTCCAGGCAGAACGGTGATCCTGTTTCTAGCCAGATCCAAAAATGTCAGATTGGCAAGAGAATCAAAAATACCTTCTGGAAGAGAAGGGATCGCATTGATGTGCAGGGACAGCTCTCCCAAATTCTCCAGCCCTTCAAAGAGGCCTTTGGGGATGCGTCTGATGTGGCTGTCTCTCAGCTCCAGCCTCTGCAAGTTTGGAAGGTTCTGGAAAGTGCCCAGAGCTAGTTCTTCTAAGGAGGCACCAGAGATCTCCAAATCCCTCAGTTTCTCCAAACCATCAAAGGCCCCAGATTCAACTGTCTTGATATTGTTGTTAATGAATAAAATCTTGGTCAGGTTGGGCATGTACCTGAAGGCGCCTTTCCTTATGGCAGTGATGCTGGTTTGCACAAAGATCATCTCAGAAATGAAGGACTTTGCAATCTTTGGGATCTCCTTGACATCATTTTTGGACCCTCTGTAGACCTCCTGGTAATCTTTGGGCATTTCATATGGATCTGCACCCAGGGTTTGACTTTGGCATTTGTGGGGATGGAAGCAGAGGAAGAAAAGGAAAAGGAAATGCTGCTTCATCATCCTGGAAAAAGGGTTCCAAAAGTTGGTTATGAAGAACAACAAAATGCGAGTCCACAGTTCATGAGCTGTTCACACTGTCGTTCAGCAATCAGCAACCCTTCTATTCACGTATCACAGCAATAGAAGGAAGAGACCAACGCTTAGCAGGGCAATAGCTCACCCACACAACAGCAGCAAACACTTGCAAACCTTCACAAGCAAAGCTTCAGAGATCAGAAGTGGTCCCAGGATCAGGGACACAGGGAAATAGATCCCAGAACCGCCTTTCCCAGCACATTTTCAAGCATTTCACGTCACTTACCTGAGTGCTCCCAGACAAGTCCAGCTGTCAGCACGCTGCGCTGTGCAGGGAGTGAGGCACAGGACAAAGGGTCCCATCACCTGGGGGGATCTCCTTATCCGTGGCCAGGCACGGGGCCTGGCTTTGGGGCTGCCGGGGGAGATAAGGCCCAGCACAGTGCGGGGAGCAGCCCAGGCACCCCGGCGAGGATGCAGCCTGCTCCCAGGCGTTATCTGCCTGCACCACTTGGCCATTCACATCCAGGGAAAGCCAAACTTCTCTAGACCGGCAAGGTTTTCCTTCCTCAAGAAGCAGCTGATGTAGCTTAACGGCACTGCTCCAAAGCCTTTTGTTTCACCAATAGCAAGGATGAGAGCTGTGGCCCTGCCGGGCAGATACACAGACAGCCAGCACTGGGTGTCCTGGCAGCTGGCTGTGGGCTGGTGTTGGCCGAGAGCATGAAGAGGGGCCCTGCTGGGGACACCTGGGGCTGCTGGCAGGTGTGGAGGAGCTTGTGGAGGAAATGCCCTGTTTGATTCGGGGAATTGCTTGAAATGACAAGCAACGAAATGCTTCCTAGGACGAACTGCAGTTAAACATTTCTTTTTTTGTTTTCACTTGCTCTTATTTACGTTCAGCTAGTGCTTCGCCTGGCTCTGTTTCCAGGCAAATGGCAAAGCACACCGCGTTCTCCCACGTGTCTCACCGCGTTCCAGTGCCGACCCCGTGAGGCTCGCGCTCCACGCACGGTTCCAGGACCGGGACGAGAGCAGCCTGCACAGCCGGGCGGGCGCCGCTGTCCCCGGGCCGTCCCTTCGCTGCCGGTGCCCGGATCGCCCCGGCCCGTCGGCCACGAGGTGGAGCCGCAGCACCGCACGGCACGGTACGGCCGCAGCGCCGTCGGGGCGAAGGGCTCAGCTGGGACCGGGCACCCGGCCGCCGCCGGCAGCAGCACCCGGCAGCAGCGCCCGCGTGTGTTTGGGCAGCGGGACATCGGGGCACCCAGGCACGTCCCCACGCGATAGCAGCCGCTTTACGTGCATCTTTCCACCCTCTCTTGTGGGAAATGGCTGCACACGGGTAATTAATATCTACTTTTTAATGATATTTGAAATACACGAGGAGAGTGTGGCTGGGCTGGGCGAATAAATGCTGGTAGCAGTCCCGCTCCTGAGACTGGTGACCACGGTGGGGGCATCAGAGCAGAACACGTCGTCATTCCCCAGGCTGAAATCGCTGCACCAACCCGCTGAGCACGAAGCAGAGTGCCGTGCCCTAAGGCGCAGCAGGGACACCAGGTGACACATCCTTCTCTCCATCCCGCACCGTGACCAGGATGCTGACCCGCAGCGTGCCGCAGGAGGAGCGCAGCACCCAGTCACCCTGGTACTTGGGCCCCAGCCGTGCTGTCTCCCCAGGAGGAGGAGGAGGAAGGCGAAGGCTGAGCTGCTGGCAGCTCGTGGCATTGCAGGATATATGCAGGGTGCCCTCGGGGTCGCTGTAGATGCACTGCCCTGGTGTGCCCTCCCCAGGCGTCTGGTCCCGGCCCTGGTGGCGAGCACACACCTGCGGCCGGAGGGTCACCTCCAGGAGGGGCTGTCCCATGAGGGCAGCAGGGCCGGTGCAGGAGGCTTGCAGGTGGATTAGGGGCTCGGCAAACACCTGCAGCCAGCTCAGCAGGTAGGCGAGGCGGCAGTCACACACCCAGGGGTTGCTCTCCAGCCCCACGCGCACCAGCTCCTCGTTGGTATCGAAGAAGCCCGTGGGCAGGTGGGACAGGCGGTTGTGCTCCAGTCCCAGTGATGTCAGGCGGGGCAGCTCATCCAGCAGCCCAGCAGGCAGCACGGAGAGGTTGTTGCGGCCCAGCTGCAGTGCTGTCAGCTCTGCCAGCCCATGGAAGGCCTCAGCAGGAAGGTGGGACAGGGCGTTGTGCTCCAGCGCCAGGCTCTGCAACGCCGATAGGTTGGCAAAGAGGCCCCTGGGCAGCGTCTGCAGGTGGTTGCGGGCCAGCGAGAGGTGCAGGAGGTTTGGGGTGCCCTGGAGGAGGGCAGCAGGCAGCTGGGCCAGGCGGTTCCCCTCCAGACTGAGGGAGGTAAGGTTGGTGAGGCCAGAGAAGGTGGCAGGGGCCAGGCTGCCCAGGGCGTTGTGTTGCAGCTGCAGCCGCCGCAACCTCGCCAGCCCAGTAAAGGCACCAGGTGGCAGCTCCACCAGCAGGTTGCCATCCAGGTGCAGCTCGGCCAGCTGGGTTAGTGTTACAAAGGCAAGGGGTGGCAGCCGTGCCAGCATGTTGTTGCTCAACTTCAGGACATGCAGAGCAGTGAGAGGGGCCAGTAGTCCCTCAGGCAGCTCAGCCAGCACATTCTGAGAGAGGTCCAAGGCCTGGAGATGTTGCAGGGGGTGGAAGATGTCATGGGGCAGTGCCTTAATCCTGTTTCCCTGCAGGCGCAGGTCCTGCAGGCTGCCCACAGAGGTGAAGAGCTCCGGGTGCAGAGAGCAGAAGGCATTGGAGCTGAGGGACAGCAGGGTGAGGCTGGGCAGCCCCTTCAGCAACTCTGGGCTGATGGATGGCAGCGGGTTTCCCGACACCTCCAGCTCTGCCAGGCCGGGCAGCCTGCGGAAGGCGCCGGGCTCCAGCTCCTGGATGTTATTGTTGATGAACACCAGTTTGGTGAGGGCAGTGCTGGGGCCCAGCACACCGCTCCGGATGTGGCTCAGGGCCGTCTCCACAAAGAAGAGCTGTGTGGCATTGCCAGGCAGGCCCGCTGGGATCTCCCTCATCCTCTCCTCTGAGCAGAAGACGCTGGCACGGCCATAGCACTGGCAGGGAAGGGGGCAGGGCGAGGGCAGCCCCCAGACCAGCAGGGCCCCCAGTCCCAGCACGGCAGGGAGCAGCTCGCTGCACTGCAGGAGGAGCGTGGCCTCAGCCCCTGCTGCAGGGTGGCTGGGCCCGCTGCGCTCGGCTGAGTGGTAGTGTTCCTAATTGCTCATCCAACACTTCCTTTTGAAATAACGTTCTGGAGCCTGAGCTCCTGCTAAGGGCACATGCCTGCACACGTGCAAGGGCTGAGCTGGAACACCCCATGGTGCTGTGCTCATGGTGAGCAGCACAGTGCTGCGATGGGGATCCTGCCACACCACGGTGGCATCCACATGGAGATGCCTGCAGCTGGGGGGGTTCTGGCCTTATGGCAGTGCTGCAGGGCAGTGTTGGGCCCAGCCTTCCCTCCCAACACCCGAAGTGGTTCCAGCACTCCCTACCTGCCCTACACCCCTGTCCTCAGTCCCACAGCCTACAGCTGCCACTTACCGAGAGCGGCATCACAGGGACAACCACCGCAGGGAGCACACAGCCTGTTGCGAGGAGTGAAACTCTCCAAGAAGGGAAGATGTGTCCTGGGGCGGATGTGGAGGCAGCTGACAACATGTTCCTGCTGGGGTGGAGCTGCCCCTTTCCGCTTATCAGCAACAACAACCCGTGTCCTTGGAGCACTCCAAAAAACAGCCCAGCCCCTGGGAGCAGAGGTGAATCCACATGGGGTGCAAGGGCAGCAGCCACAGGCAGGCATCCCAGGGGGAATCACAGCCATGGCCCCAGCCATGCCCTGGGGTTGTGGCACTGGGTCCACACCAAACACAGTGTGCCTGCATGCAGCAGCCCAACAGGAGTGTCCTTGGGCTCTATTGGTCTCATTGAGGCATGAGACTGTCAAGAGTTCCTTGCCCAGGAGAGAGGACCAGCACAGAGAGGAAGAAGAGCAACACCCTAGTGAAGGGGAACACCTCAGGGCCATTGTGCTATGGTTCAGAGGGCAGGGCCATTAGTGAAGGAACCCTTGGAAGACCTGCTCTGTGCAGCATTGTGTCAGGAAGCTTGCCAAGGTCTCAATGAGTCCTCCAAGATCTGTCATGCTGCAGTGGAATGGCTAAGCCCTCCCTCACCCCAGCCCAGCTGGGCTGTGCAGCCATGATACACTCACCCTGTCCCAGCAGCCTGCATGGGCTTATTCTCACCATGAAAAAATCACTTGAGAGAGGCAATAATTGAAAGCTCCTCTCCCTGCTGGCTTGTACCAAGGGTGCCTCTCACCACAGAGAAGCAGACAAACAGCTCTTGGATTTGGACAACCGTGCTTTAATGGTCACAGAGCAGTACCGAACGGCCCCGAGGCACAGTCCTGTTTGCAGCTGTCGTGCAGGTCTCAGCCCAGAAGAGCATCCATCCCATCACATACACACAACTGCATTGTTGCTTGTGCCAGCATTGGCTCCTGGAGCACCACAAGCAGCACCATGCATTGAGACTCTTGTCCCATAGTGCCATAGCCCATACGGCCCAGTGCCAAACATGGAGCTGTGCCTGTGCCTTGCTGGCTGGAGAAGGCACAGTAGCTGCTGGGGCAGTGCAGTCCCATCTGCCCATAGCTGGACCTCAGGGCTTTGCCCGCCTGCCCTATGCCAGCAGCAGCATTCAGGCTGGGAGCAGGCAACAGGAGCAGGCACAGAGCAGGCACTCTCAGGGCTGGGAATAGGGAGAGGAGTGGGTGCAGCTGTTCTGGGCAGGGCTGCAGTTGGTGGATGCCCAGGGCATACGTAGTCCCATAGTGCTGTTGGCATGGGAAACACAGGCGTGTGAGGACAAGGACTCTGCTGGAGGCAGAGGAAGATGCTCCACTCTTGCCACGCTGCCTGCAGGCAGGGAGGGCAGCGTGGACGCGGCCAAGTCACTGGGGTGTGCCACCATGGAGCACACCAGGCTCCGAGCCAAGCAGAGGCAGCCCAGCCCTGCAGGGCTAAGCTGCAAAGGCACACACAGCCCTGCTTGGGATGAGGCTGTGTGCTTAGATCCTGGCCCCGCGTGATGGCTTCACACCTCAGCACAGGCTGTGGCTGAGGGCATGGGGTTGGGGGCAACTCAAGGAAATGATGTGAGGTGAGGGAGGGGGAGTCCCAGTGCTCTGTGGCCAGGCTGCTGCTCCCTGCTCTGCTACTTGGCACCCTGTACTCTGGCTCCTGGCCCCAGGAAGGGATTGAGTACAGAGGCAGGAGGGGCTGGGGACAGGGGAGCCAAGGGGGCATCCATAGTTGACACCCTGTTTGCAGAGCAGGGGCACGGTGAAGCAGAGCAGCACAGGAGACTTGGCACATGGTGTGATGCTGTCCATCCAGCTCTGGGTCACTACTGCCCCCGGGGCTCATGGAGGATCAGGCTTCATTGGGTGCTTTCATCCTCATCAGCACCACATGGCTCTTCTTTCTGCAGCCGTACACCACCAGTGCCACGAGGGCACAGAGCAGGGCCACGCACACCAGCACGATGACGGCCCCAACCACCGCGCTCTGCGTGCGCGTCAGCCCCCACCACCCCCTGCCTTCCACCTCCTCTTCCTCCTCCCGAGACACAGGGGTGGCCGGCAGCGTGGTGGGGGACCCCGACGGCAACGCTTCCTGGGAGGGGCGGGCAGGCAGCGGGCTGCTGGGCCGGGCAGTGGGTAGCTGGTCCTGCTGCAGCTCGGCAATGGGTGTTCCCCGCAGCGGGGCCGGCTGGGCGCACACGGGGGGGGTCTCACCCACCTTGCTGGGGTTCGCCTCCAGCCAGGCACGCAGGGGCAGGATGGCCTGATCACAACGCCACGAGTTGTTGTGCAGCTTCACCTCCCGCACGGCAGACAGCGGGGAGAAGATGCCTGCGGGCAGGCTCTCCAAAGTGTTGGCGTGCAGCTGGATGTGCTGCAGCCTCGGAGTGGCAGCGAAGAGGCCGCGGGGCAGCGTCTGCAGGCGGTTGTTCTGCAGGGAGATGTTCTGCAGCTTGGGCATTCCCCCCAGCACCCCAGCATCCAGCCGGCGCAGGGCGTTGGAGTGCAGCGAGAGCTCGAGCAGCTCACCCAACCCACGGAAAGCCCCCGGAGCCAGCGATCGGAGCTGGTTCTTGCTGAGCACCAGGAGTTGCAGCTGGGTGAGATTGCTGAAGACTGCGGCGGGGAGAGCGGCCAGCTCGTTCTCATAGAGCCACAGCTCCCGCAGGTTGGGCATGGGGCCGAAGGCGGCCGGGGAGATGTCGTGCAGGCGGTTGACGTGCAGGGTGATCTTGGAGAGGGCACGCAGCGGCAGGAAGATGCCGGCGGGCAGGGCAGTGAGGAGGTTGTTGGAGAGGTAGAGCTTCTGCAGGTTCCCGTTGTGCACGAAGAGCTCCGGGGACAGCGTCTCCAGCTGGTTCTGGTGCAGGCCCAGCTCCTGCAGCTCGGGCAGCGCATCAAAGGCGCCCACCGGGATGTGCCGCAGCCGGTTCTCATAGAGCCGCAGCACCTGCAGCTGGGGCAGCCGCTCAAAGGCGCGGGGCGGCAGGCGGTCGAGGTTGTTGCGGGCCAGGTTGAGCTTGGTGAGGCTGGCGAGCTGGTCGAACAGCCCCTCCGTCAGCTCCCGGAGATTGTTCCCGTGCAGCTGCAGCTCCTTCAGGTTGCTCAGGTGAGCGAAGTGGTCGGGCTCCACGCGGAGCAGCTGGTTGCTGGAGAGGAGCAGTGACTCCAGCTTGCCCAGGGGCTGAAAGACCTGCACCGGGAGCTCCTGCAGCTTGTTGCTGGCCAGGCTGAGGTAGCGCAGGTCGGGCAGGTGCTGGAAGGCGTCGGGGCTGACGTGCCGCAGGTCGTTCTTCTCGATGCGCAGCCCGATGAGCAGGGAGGCGTTGCCGAAGGATGCCTCGCCCAGCTCGGTGATGCGCGTGTTGACGATCTGCAGGGTCACCGCATTGGCGGGGATGGGGCTGGGGACAGCGGTGATGCCGGCGCCAGAGCACTCCACCTGGGCAGTGCGGACGCACTGGCACTGCTCCGGGCACTGCCCGCGGACGGGGTGGAAGCCCAGCAGCAGCAGCAGCAGCCACCAACCTCCCTGCTCCATGGGGCCTGCGGAGAAAAGAAAGTAGGAGGCTCACCGCCCACCTCGGGATGGGTGCTGCCTTCCCAGGGCTGGACACACTCCTCCCCAGGAGTTCTGGGCCAGGCAGGGCAGAGCCGGCTGCGGCGTCTCGCTGTCACACCACAGCTATTAGTGGCATCCCTGGCGTGCCCCGCTCCTCCAGCAGCTGGGAGTGTGGTTTCCTGTTTTGCAGTGAGCTTGGTGAGCTGGTCTTGGTGCTGCTAGCCTGCCAGCATCCCCAAAAGGTGGAGAGCCCCAAACCAGCAGTCACCAGCACCAGAAGAGCCCAGGGCTGCCACAGGAGCTACCGGAGGAAAAGTGCTTTGCTATGCCATCATCTATCTGCACATACCAAGGACATTCTCCTCTCCATCCTGCTCTGGAAGCCCACCCATAGGTACAGCAGCAGTCTGTGCCTGGCTGGCAGCTCCCAGTGGCACATGGCAGGAGGAAACCTGCGCTTCCCAGGCACAAAGCAGGGCTCAGCCAGGCACGGCTGGGAGCTCACAGAGCGCAGGGAAGCGCCTGTTGCTGGAGGGGAGGGAGGAGCCCTCTGCAACCAGCACGGCTTATGGCTCACATATGGAAACAATCTGCATCCCAGAACAGTTTTGTTTATAGCAAGCAGCTTATAAACTCCACCAAATGCTTTGCACATCAAAAGCACAGCTCATGTCACTCCCTGTAAGTGAGCTCGTGGAGCATCCAACTGGAGGGCAGTTCAGGAAAGACAGCTGAAAGCAATTTACCTCCCTTTCTCTTTTAAGGGACAAAAGCTTGCAGACCAAGGGGTTGAACACCCAACCCCTCAGCATCCGAGTGATTCTAACCTCAGCCCCCCTAAATTTCTGCCCCTCCTTTCACATTCTTTATGGGTTATCGTTTAAGAAACTTTGCCCCCCTAACTCAGTTTGTTGAACCCTTGTAGGATAAATACCTCCAACTCACCAAAAGGTGCTCAGTGTGCACACCAGCCAGCCATGCTCCCACCCCGCGGTGATGTTCTGGGGGCTCCCAGGGGCCTGAGGGCCGCGTTGGGGATGGGGAGGTTACAGCAGAAGGGAGACTTACCCATGTCCTGCAGCCGTGAGCGCTGAGCGAGCACAGCTCCGTGCTGGCAGGAGCGCCGAGTGCGGTTCACACTTCCCCTCCCAGTATATAACCCGTCCAAATCAATGAATCAGCACAGGGGCAGCGGCGGGGTTACGGAAATCACTGCAGCAGAGCGGCTTCCAGCTCGCACTTCCTCAGCAAACAGAGTGATTGACTGGGAGATGGAGTGGCTGGTTTCTTGCTTGTGAACCCTCTCGATTGAAGACAAGCAGTCGGCCCTGAGAACACGCTGTGCACGTCAGCCAGCACGCTGCGTGCAGCTCAGCCCTGCAGCCCCCAGCACGCAGCCAGGGATCGTGACTCCTTGGGGCACCAGCTCTACTTTTCCTTTGGCCCCACCACCAGCCTGGTTGCCTCATGCCCACCTCTCCCAGGCAGCCTGGTCCAGCAGCAGCCACAAGCAGAGGTTTAGGAGATACGACCATGGGAAAACCAACACATATGGAGCCTTGTTCTGAGCCAGCAGCAGCCCTGTGCTAACCACGGGGCAGCGGGACTTCCCAGCTGCCTCTAATCCCGTCTCAGCCCACCCACATTTCCGCAGCAGCTCAGGTCCCAGACACCCTAATGAGCTGCCTGAGATGGGAACAGCACAGTGTTGCCTCTGAACACACTCCTTAGCACAGCACGGGTGCTGGGTGCAGCATCACTTGTTCTCTGCCACTCTGTGCAGCATGCCACGCTGGCAGGGCTGGTGGCACGCAGGGGAAGGGGACCCTGCAGGCTGCAGAGATGGAGAGGGCAGTTTGCAGCTTGACTTGGACCATGAGAAGAGCGTGGGAGCGAGACCTTTCCAGCAGCTACTGCCACATCACATCTAGAGGGTGTTCCCAGGGGGATGAGGTTGGGGCCTGGCTGCTGTGGGACGTTTTGGGGAGTGCGGGTCCCCTCCATGCCAGGGAAGCACCCAGCCACAATCTACCCTCACAGCATCCTCTGCTGCTTGGCTGCCCATGCCCAGGAGAAAAGCTGGGATGGAAAACAGGCATTTTGAAAACACTGTCCGCAACTGCTTTACTTCACATGCTGTTGATGCAGCAGTTTTTCCCAGTGATGCCATTCCCAAAATAGACTCCCTGCTTCCATGAGTGATGCACTGGGAGGTCAGGCAGCGGCTGGGAACTGCCCTGCACCCTGGTACTGAGTGGGACTGGCCGGCCCTTATCAGCCCTTGTCTGCCAGATCTGGCTGCCCACTGCCAGCACTGCTGGGCTGCTGCCCACTCTGAGTCACCCTCCAGGCACACGGCTTTCAGTGAGGCACATAGAAATCAAAACCCAGTGTGGCTGGAAAAGCACCACTCCAGACCCGGGCCGACAGAGGAATGTCACACTCAGCATCTTCCAAGCAGCGTGGTCCCAGCAGGGGCAGATGCAGCACATGGGGCTGGGGCAGAATGTGACTGCACCCCCCAAACCGTTTTGGCAGGAAGGGTGCTGCAGGGCATGGTGCACAGGGACCAGCCCTAGGGCATTCCTGCAGGGACAGCATGGGCAGGGGCTGGCATCACTGTGCACTCCCTGACTACAGGCAAGGGAGAGGAGCAGAGACAGGAAGGGAAGGGGCGCTCGCACCCTGGCACCCCCAAGTCCCAGTGATGTGGTGTCACCATGTTTTGCCTCACGGTCCAGAACTGGGACAGTCCCGGCTGCATCCGTGCTGGCCCCATCCCAACACATTCACACAGCTGGGGTAGCAAAGCTGGGTGGCTCTGAATCACCAAGGGACTCGAGACAGCTTGGAAAAACACAAATCACTGCTAAACTTAGCAGCTTGTGGGCTTGGCCGGAGGAGAGCATTACTCATCTCCCTACCAGCTGAGTGCACCGCGCTCACCCACACAGCACTGGCAGCCCCACCACTGTGCCCCCCCTGCCCTGGGGTCCCCCTGGGCTGCAGAGGGATGCAGGGATGTGCTCCTGACAAGCAGAACCTATAGGAACCTCCTGCTCTGAGGTGCATTTGGTGGAGGGAGTGGACACCCTCACACTCCCTGCTCTCTACAGTGCAGGTCTGGGACAACCCCAGGTATTTTTGACTCCTGCAAACTGCCCTCCCTGCTCTGAGAAGCACCCATTTCTCACAGGGGCTTGGAGTGGGGCCAAACCCAGCTGTGTGAAGGAAGGGTGAGCAGGGTGGAGAGAAGCAGAGATCACAGAATCATAGAACTATTTGAGTTAGAAAGGATTCTTAAGTGCCATCTGGTTCAACCCCCTGCACTGAACAGGGACTCTTACAGCTCCATCAGGTGCTCAGAGCCCCGTCCAGCCTGACCTTGGGTGTCTCCATGGTTGGGGCAACCTTTTTGGGCAACCTGTGCCAGTGCCTCACCACCCTTAGTGTGAACAGCTTCTTCCTTACATCTAGTCAAAACCTCCCCTCCTTTAGTTTGAAACCATTTCCTCTTGTCCTATTCAGACAGCAGCCCTGCTGACAGTGCATCATGCCAGGAGGGATGTTCTCTTGAGGCAGAGAACTGCAGGTCCTCAACACACAGGAGCAGGTTGATATAAAGGAGCAGGAGAAGAGCAGTGGGGATGAAGAATATTTCTGCAGACTGAGATTTTTTGGGTGCAAGGTGGAAGAAACTGGGCATTAGCGCTGTTGCCTGAAAACAGTTTTTGAAAAGCCATCAAGAACAGGAGGTGCTGGCACAAAAACCACACAGGTTATTGCCAAGTTAAGCTGCAGGAGCTGAAAGTAAAGCTGTGAAAGTCCACAGAGGAGAAAGCTAAACTGATGGTGTAGTGGAAATGCGGAGTCATGGCCTGAAGCACTGATTGAGCACCTGGTGGGAAGGCAGGGCCAACCCAGGGAGGTCAGGTGCATGCAATGTACCTGAATGATGGAAGGGGAGGAGCCAGGATGCACCCCTTCCCAGACCTCATTTAAGGGTTGGCAGTGGAGGTGAGAGTGTCTCTTACTTGGGATTCCTGCCTACCTGATGCTTTCCAGAGGTAAGCAGTTCTTTTCCTTTGGTTCTGTGTCTGTTGTGTTTGGGCATGTTCTCATTTGCTGTAGCTGAAGACTTTCCTGCTCTGCTCTTACTGTGGTACTTTCCATCCCGTTATAGCGTTACAGATGGACTCCAGGACATAGAGACTTACAGTTGCTCTGGGAGGCATAGGATTCTGGCAGGGGCCCAAAAGGAGATACAAATAGCATTACAGAGAAAATCAAAAACCTGTGCACGAATGTGAGCCAGCTTATCTCACTCATCATCCCCAACCTGGAACTCCAGCATATCCTCTTGGAGTTGAATCAGGTGGATGATGTCTTGCAGATGATACTGGAGAAAGAACATATGTTGCAACCGTCATCTCTCTCCTGCCTGTGTCTTTTGCACAGTATCATTGAAAAATAATTGGTATCTAAAAGAATTAGTTTTTTTAAATGTCTAAAAAAAAGAGAAAATATCCTCCCCTGATCTGTCTTGGGTCTGGTGCTCTTCAAAGACCTGGACTGGGGGACTGAGTGTATCCTTAGCCAGTTTGTTGATGGTACCAAGCTGAGTGGTGCAGCTGACACAGAAGAAGGGAGGAATGCCATCCAGAGGGAGCCAGAGGAGGGCTGTGAAAATGACCAAAAGGCTGGAGCATCTTCCTCTATGCAGGGAGGAGGAGGGAGCTAGGAAGGTTCAGCTTGGGAGAGAAGGCTACAGGGAGATCTCACTACAGCCTTCTAATACCTGAGAGGAGCTTGTAAGCAGGAAGGGAATCAACTTATTACACTTTTGAAAGTGACTGGACAAGACGGAATGTTTTAGTTTTTTGTTTTTTTTTTTTTTTTTTTTAACTAAAAGAGGGGAGATTTAGATTAAATACTAGGAAGAAATTCATTACTCAGAGGGTGGCGAGGCTGTTGGTGCTCCATCCCTGGAGCTGCCTGAGGCCAGGGTGGGTGGGACAAGCAGCCCATGGTGGTGGTTGGGGCTGGGTGGGCTTGAAGGTCTCTTCCAACCCAAGTCATTCTGATACTGAGGGCTGAGCAGCAGGATATATAGGCTGGAGTGTGGCAAGGAGTGGCCTCCCATTTGAGAGGCACCTGCAGCCCTCTCCCTAACCCCCACCTGCCCTTTGTGAGAGCTCCTACCCAGGGCCAGGCACTCAGGCCCCACAACCAGTTCAGCTTGAGCTTGGAGGGGCAGGGCTGCTCACAGCTATGGACAGCTTATCTGCATCTGCCCCAGGAGTTGGGATCCTGCCTCCAGAGAACTCATGGGCACTGCAGGGAGGGTATAGCCAGGAAACAGATCCCTCCAGGACAGTACACAGAAGGGCTGCCCCCTGAGCAGGACTCAAAGCCAACATTTCTGCATACAAACTCCAGTGGGGCTGGCTGAGCTGGTAGAGATGCACACCACTGCTCCCGGCTGCTCTGAGTGATAGCAGCAGGGCTTGGCCTGGGCCCAGGGCAGTGCTAGCCTGGAAGGAATGCAGGGACTGCAGCCAAATCCTCTGTGAGCAGCAACAACCAAAGCGGAAAGAACTTGTCCGAGTGGGGTGCGGGTGCTGCAAGCTGGGGCAGGACAGGCTGGAGCAGGGCTGAGGGGAAAGCTCATTCTGCACCAGCCCCTTCCCCAACCCAACCTGGGAAGAAGGCTGTGGAGCTACTCCCTGGCTCCAGGCTCTTATCTTCTGAGAGAAACAAAGGCACAAAACACAAGGATCCTTCAGCAGCAATTGCTCAAGGGGGGCCCAACCTGGTGCCAGCATCCCCAGGTGCAGCTGAGATGACCCTTCTCTGCAGCAAAGCAGGGCTGTGGCAGTGCATCCCACAGTGAGGCTGTGTGAAGGCTCATCTGCTCAGGAACACCCAGCAAGGGATGCAAATTCAGGTTTTGATTGAGAAAATTGAGACAGTTCTGAAATCCCTAGGAAATGCTGCATGCTGATAGCACAGCTGCTGAATCAGCTGCCCCGGGTGAGATGTTCTGTCCCTGGGCAGGGGGAGAAACTCAGG